TTTTCGGCATTCCACTTCAGTGTGTGTGAACCTGATAGTACCAGAGCGAGGTTGGGGTGGACATTTTCATGTATTTGCGGGGAGCATACAATTACTTTAGATTGAATAAAGGATAGTTTACCAGCAAATCTTTGTCTCCGGCCGTTGTCATCTCTTACGATCTCTTTTAGGGAAAACCGCTGCCCACATGTCCAGCAAACTAGAACCTAGGCCTCCAGGGTCGCGCTTTACAAAAGTTTCTTTATCTGACAAGGGAGGCAACTCTGCTGCACCCAAACATTTTGAACGCAATGCCATAACTCTTGCGAATCTCTAAATTGCTACACGGAATATTTGTTTTCTTACCAAACTGACTCATAGCCATTTGCCGTCGCCGAGATACAAAACATTCTTTCCTGATAACACAGGCTTCAGTTACTTGTTGTCGAAAGCTAGTGGGTCAAAATACATGTAGCTTTGCAGGAATCGTGCTCACTTCGAATCTATACGGTGAATACGTGACTGCGTGCATGCGCTCCTGATGTAATTTGCACCTGCTGTGGGGGCGGGGAGGTCATCCGGGCTTAAAACTGAAAAAGAACTTCCACTTTGACAGGGCTAATTTGGGTTCTCAGAGACCTAAGTAAAACTTTAAGGCCTTATTCCTCAAAGAGCTCAAACAGACAGATCACCAATATTTCAAGTACGATATCTTTCTTGGGTTTTAACGCAATGTTATCAAATTTTCAAGATTAGTAAAGACCACAATTATCTAGGTTTTAACTCCTATAATATTTTCAATTTATGAAATGTTTGCCCTGTTATTTCCCATTTTATTTTATGCACAGGATGAACTTAATTCCATGCTTCTTCAACCATAATATACATTAGCAAATTATTGTGCTCATAATGAACACAACTTTTTAAAATTTATCGGGTAGTTATTTAACTATTGTGGCATGTGTGGCATGTGACCTCGATAAATATATTTTTGAAGTCAGACTGCGAACTCCTTTAACATCTTACCTGTGCTGTTTGTTCATCGCCTGGATTTTCACCAAGCTTTAAATTTTCTGAGGAAGACTCTGAGGTTTTCAGTCTTTTAGGGCTTAAGGAAATGTCAGAACCTCTTGGGATAGGATCTTTGAACCTGAAAGATTTTCTGGAAGATGGAGGATCGCATTCAACTGCAGCCCCTCCTGTGGTCGAGAATTTTCGGCACTTCAAAGCAACCAAAGATTTTCTGCGTTTGAAAAATAAATTTTCCTTTGACACGGGGAACAAGAACATAACAACAATTAGCGAAAAAGCGTTGGCTTTGGTTTTGTTTCAGCTATAAGACGATTGGTTCTTTCTTATCTGTAGTTGCTATGGTAGGAAGCAAATTCGCCATACTACAAAACACTGATGTAAATTACGAATCAGTCTGACCATAAAGGGCAGAATACTTAAGGCCTGAACATTAATTATGGCGAAAAACACTGTTTTAATTAAGCACCGTGGAATACCCATTTTCAAAAATACCAAGAGAGACAGAAATTGAATCGAGAAATCGGGAGTTCGATATATTAAGAGTAAAATTAAATTGAAAAAAATTCCAGAGAAAAAACCTTTTGATTCGAGATGTTGAGAGAGTCGAGAAATTCTGATTTCACTGCACGGTTAACAAGGACTGTTTCCAAGCAAATCATACGTAACAGTAATACACGCTAAATTACAATTCACTAGTTTTCACCTGCGCTGTTTGTTCATCGCTAGGAATTCTACCAAACTTGAAATGTTCTGGGAACTATTCCAACGTTTTCGGTCTTGTTCGGGATCGAGGGTATATTTGACAGCAATTACAACCCCAAAGATCTACTGAAAGAATTGGGATGCATCCAAAGCAACCAAAGAGGGCTTTTCGACGATAAGACGTGTTCAATAAGAATTAAAATAGCTTCTATCTGACTATTAGATCTCCTTAAAAGGAAACGATACATATGAATTGTTTTTGCTTTGGTATGTTGGTGAAAGGAGGGTCTGTGGGATAGCGACGTAAATAACGCATGGATAAATAATGCATGGTAGGCAACGACGTCTCTCGTTCCACATGCTACTGAGTAAGCGTCTTGTAACAAGCCTGGTAAAGTCAGACCGGGATCTTGTTTTATCTTTGTTTTTTTAATCAAAGAGTTAATCGTGAAACCTCAGGATTCAGTGAAAAAAGAATCGAAACAAAGGAAACTTTAATTCAAATTGCAACGTGTTGTTCCTGTTCTGTGCTTTGACTGATATGTTTCCAATTACAATAGCTACACCGTAAGTACTCACAATAGAACCTTGGGTGCCTTGTGGAGAGTTATGTTCAACCTTATTGTTTTTCTTATTTCTCTTTCCAGTTCTTTTGTCAAAGTTCAGCGTTATTATTGGCGAGAGATCAAGGCAAGATTAAAATCACAAACTTTAATATCATGGGGTATCTTCGGCAGGTTTTCTCATCGTTTTTCTTGAGGATTCTCTTAGATCAGGTGGGTGAAGATCCGGTGTAATTTCGGTTTAAGTTCGTGTTGGTCATTTGAAAGACAAGTTTTGAAGTCTTAAATTCTTGCTCGGCTCAGAAGAAGTAAGAAGCAAACAACTAACATAAATGAGTAATTTATTATTATTCTGCTCCCGATGGGCACGTGTGGATTAGACCGCTTCATTGTAATTTTTTACTTGGGAATGTGATGGAAACTCCAGATTTGAATAGACGTCCGTTTCTTCTTTTTCGATGCATTTCGTTTTTGCCTGCCCGTTCACTCTTTCTCGTTTCGTCTTCGCCGGAAATGCAATAAGTAAGATACCAGTAGTAATCATAGATTAGAGCAGTGCGCTTACGTGCGTCCTTTCCATGTTTGGTCTACTTTGGTGGCGTTCGAATGGCTCGATAGAAAACTAAGTTTGATCGAATGGCAGATAACGATCTGCACGTGAAGTTGAAGCCTGCGGTAAAAATGTTCTTAATCAATTAAGTAAGTCAAAGTGTTTTCCAGGAAAGGGCTTTTAAACTGTTGGCGACACGTAGAATTCAATTTCAGATCGCCAACACTTAAAACAAATAAGCTTATTTCTTGAGAAAATAAAGTTTTGGCCAGTGACTTAACAAATGTTTTTAAATTTTGTGTTTTTAATTGTTTAC